GAGGGAGGGAGGGAAGGAGGGGGCTGCGGGGGCTGCGGTGGTGCAGCCGTGCAGGGCGCAGGCTCCAGAGCCGGGTCCTAGCGCCCGGATCCGCCGCACCTGGAATCAGGTCCCGAGGGAGCGGCGCTGGGGGAAAAAGGGATTGGGAGGAAGCTTCTGGCTCCGAACAATTCCCTGGCAGCAGGGTGGAGTCGGGAAGGGTCGGGGATAGGATGAGAGGGAATGGCCTCAAGGTGGGCCAGGTTCAAGTTGGATTTTGGGAAAATTCTTTCTTGGAATTCTTGGCTTCTGTGCAGCCCTGGAAGGGGTGGGATCCCCATCCCTGGAGGGATTTAACGCCCTGTGCATGTGGCACTTGGGGACATGGACACTGGTGGCCTGGTCACAGCTGGGGGAATGGTTGGACTCGATGGTCTCTGAGGAATTTTCACCCTAAAGCACTCCATAATTCCATGGAAATTGGTGTGGGATGTCCCTCCTCTCCAGTTTGTGTTGTTCCCAAGGGAGCTGGCTGGCTGGCCTCATTTTGGGTGCAGGATGTCCCTGATTTCAGGGGGAACCAAAGCTCTGCACAGGGGGACTTTGGACAAGGGACAGAGTGACAGCACCCAGGGGAGTCCTGGCAAAGGGGAAATCGGGGTGGGATATTGGGAAGGAATTCCTGGCTGTGAGGGTGGGTACGTCCTGGAGCGGAATTCCCAGATTTCCCCCGGATCTCTGGAAATGTCCAAGGTTGGGCTTTGGGGCTTGGATCCATCTGGGATAATGGGAACTGTCCCTGCCCATGGATGGGGTGGGAATGGCTGATCCTTAAGATCCCTTCCAACACATCCCATGACTCCAGGTTTCTGATTCCCTTCCACAGGGGAACTTTTGGGAATGTTCAGGGCTTGGAGAGGAACTAAAAAAAGTCTTAAACTCGCTCTGGATTGATTTTTGACTCATTAAAGACCAAACCCCAAATGCTGGTTTAACATTTCTCTCCTGAACTCAATTTCCTGACAAACTCCAGCTGCTCCCAACCCCAAAATCAGCTTTGTGGAGGAATTTCACTGGGAGATGCACGTATGAAATAAATCCAAAGGCAATAAGGAGGAATTTTAGCTCCTGCTGGATAAACAGTGGGAGTTTCTGAAGGTTTTTTCATCTCCCTCCTCTGCATGCTCCCTGAGCTGGGGGGTGTTCCAGTCGCTCAGCAGTGGGCTGGCACTGATCCCAGATCCCAGAGAAAAGCCTGGAGGTTGAGGGGGGGATATTTCTGGGCTTCTTTTCTCGGTGTTGATGAATTAGACAGAGAGTTTGGGCAGCAGGAAATCCGTGTGGATCCTGCAGAGCGACGGCTGGGGTGGTTTGTGGGGGGATCCGTGGGCTGGGGTCCGATCCTGGGAATCCTTGGAGGTGGGATGGGTGAGGCTGGGAGTCTCTGGAGCTCTGTGACGCCTGGTGCTTCCTCCCAGGAGAGCTCCAGCCCCAGCCAGGTGTCATCCTGAGGGTGCTGTGGGCTGTTCATCCTGGTGTCCGTCCCGGTGTCCGTCCCGGTGTCCGTCCCGGTGTCCATCCCGATGTCCAGCGTCCATCCTGGTGTACATCCTGGTGTCCAGGGTCCATCCCTGGGTCCATCCCAGTGTCCATCCCAGTTTCCAGTGTCCATCCCCATGTCCAGGGTCCATCCCGGTGTCCATGCATCCATCCCGCTGTCCATCCCGCTGTCCAGTGTCCATCCCGGTGTCCATCCCGGTGTCCATCCCGCTGTCCAGTGTCCATCCCAGTGTCCATCCCGGTGTCCATCCCAGTGTCCATCCCGGTGTCCAGTGTCCATCCCAGTGTCCATCCCGGTGTCCAGTGTCCATCCCAGTGTCCATCCCAGTGTCCAGTGTCCATCCCAGTGTCCATCCTGGTGTCCGGTGTCCATCCTGGTGTCCATCGCTGGGTCCATCCCAGTGTCCAGTGTCCATCCCAGTGTCCATCCCGGTGTCCAGTGTCCATCCCAGTGTCCAGTGTCCATCCCAGTGTCCATCCCAGTGCCCATCCCAGTACCTGGCTCCGGAGCCTCACTGAGCAGGAGAAGGAGCACAAGGCAGCGCCTGCAGTACCTGGTGTTCCTGATAAATCCCAAAATAGCTGGGAATGGGCTGGGATGGGGTCCTGCTTCCCGTGCCAGGGATCCTCTGTGCCAGTCCCCAGGACATTTATTTCAGAGGTTTAATCAGGTTTTGGGTGTGTTTCCCTGGAAAAGGGGATGCTGGAGTTCCCCGAAGGCCCAGGAAGGTTTATTTATCCTGGGGATTTTTTCAGCTGGAGCAGCAGTTCATCCTGATACGGCAGTGCCCGAGTTTGGGGGAAAATTGGGATTGTTCCCCTTTGTGCAGAGCCCTAAATCCATGGATTGTGGTGAGGGTGGAGCAGACAAAGCCCTGAAGGTTCTGGATCATCTCACAGAGCTTTAATTACCAAATCTTCTCATATCCCCTTAATTGGGCACTAATAAAGCTCCTGCCCCACCTCGGCTTCCTCTCTAAGCTCAGGATCCTTGTGGGTCTTTCCCAGCTCAGGGTTTTCCAGGATCCTTTCCCTCAGGAGTTCATTTTCATCCCAAATCCAAGTAGGAAATAAAGGAGGAGATGGGGAGTGGTGCCTGTGACTTTGTTGTGTTGAGAAACGGGATATCCACGACTCAAAAAGGATTTTTCAACTTAAAGGACTCCGTGATTTTCAACACAGTTTTCCCAGAGAAGCTGTGGATGCCCCTGAATCCCTGGAGATGTTCCAGGCCAGGTTGGAGGGATCTTGGAGCGACCTGGAACGGTGGGAATTGTCCCTGGCCATGGCCCACTGGGTGGGCTTTGATATCCAAACCATCCCAAAGCACCCTGGGATCCTATGAATTTGTGTGGAAAAAATTCCCAGGTGCTTCAGTTTAGCATGGAAAACTCTGACTGAGGAGGAGAAGGAGCCTCAGTCAGTTCCTTGTTGTTGGTAATTTTCTTTTTAAATGAACGACTGCTCTTCTGCTCCACCCTGGAGCGAAGCCTGTCTGGTATTCCCTGGAATTCCCTGGATTTGGGTTTGTCCTGCTGTTCCCAGAGCTCTTTGGGAAGAGCAGCGAGGAGTTCCCACCCTCTGAGGGGGTGCTCTCAGAGCTCACCCTTCCTCCCATCTGAATTCCTGCTGAAATTCCATGGCTGTTTCCCTGTTTTCCTTGCACTTGGAGGAAGCTTTCTTGAATTTGAGTTCCCTCTTGGCATTCCAGCCTCTTCTCGGGACACAGCCCCCGCCGTCACTCCATGGGCTGAGCACCTTCCAAGTGTTTGTGTCCATGGCTCTTGTTCCATTCCCGGCTCTGGGATCAACCAGGATCCCAGAGGAGGATCCTGCAGGGGAGAGGAACAGCAGGAATCCTTTAGAATTTAGGAATTAGGAGGAAATAATTTAGAATTTAGGAATTAGGAGGAAATCCTTCCCTTTGAGGGTGGCACAGAGAAGCTGTGGCTGCCCCTGGATCCCTGGAAGTGTCCAGGGCCAGGTTGGATGGGGCTTGGAGCACTCTGGGATAGTGGAATTGTTGGGATTTAAGGTCTCTTCCCACCTAAACCATTCCCTGAGTCCATAAACAGGTGGCACGGGTGATCTTTGCTCCCAGGTTCTGGCAGGGAAGCACGGTGAGCTTCCAGTGCTGGAGGAGGTTTCTCCTTCTGTGGATAAAATAATTCAGATTTTCTGAATCTCCTAAACTGGTTTAGAGTCTGAGGCTGAGGGGAAGGAGCTCGTCCTCTTTGTAGCTGTTTGGAGAATTTTGTGTGGGTTTTGTGCCTGTGAAGTTTCCTTTAAGCCAGGATGGAGAGGGGAAGCATCTGGAGCTCCAATGACCAGCAGATACCCGAGGTGACTCCGGTTGAGTTCCTAGTGAGAAATTCCCAGTTTCCAGCTGGGTTTTGTGTTGTTTCTGCCAGCTGTGCACTGTCAAAGCTCCTTCCTTGGAGCATTCCCAAGGCTGCCAGAGCTCTCAGGGACACGGTGGGATTGTTGTGGATTCCCTGTGCAGGGAAGGAGTTGGATCTGTGATCCGGCTGGGGATACTCTGTGTTTTTGGGGATGTTTCCAGGATGCCGGGTTTGGAATGTCGGGCAGTGGCCGGTCCCGGTGGCTCCCAAATCCCCTGATTAGCACCGGGAACAGTGCCCAGAAGAGGGGTCAGCTCAGCCAGGAACAATGGGACACAAAGTCACCTGTCACAGCCAGGAGCAGGACAATTAGTGATCATTGCCCGCAATTAACCCCTTGGGCTCCACCCACCCACCGCAGGTCCCGCTCCCGGGGATGTGGGGAAGCTCCAGGGCGTTGTTTTTGTTTCCTCCAAATTCTCCATGAAGCGAAGTGGGGCGAGCTGGGCTCACGGAATTCGGGGTGTCCCTGCCCAGTGGCCACTTAGGGCGAGCAGGGGGCCAGGAGGGTGTCCCTGCCCAGTGACCACTTAGGGCGAGCAGGAGGAGGCCGGGAGGGTGTCCCTGCCCGGTGACCATCTCAGGGCGAGCAGGAGGAGGCCAGCAGCGTGGCCGAGCCGGTGGCCCGGTGCCTCCTCCTGCGGGGAGCGTTAGGACCCAGCGAGCCGCCGGCTCCGTGACAAGTCTGGAGCGGCACTGGCGCAGAGTGGCTCCATCGGCAGCGCTGGAATTCTCTGTATCCCTCCCTCGGAGCATCCTCGCCCAGAAAAGGAAAAAAAAGGGCTTTCCTCCCTTTTGGTGGCGCCCGGCAGAGCCTCGGGGGAGGGGGATGCTGGGATCGGCCGGGACGCTGGGAAGCGCCGCTGGATGCTGATCGGGAATCTCTGGATGCAGCATGGCCCAGGGCAGGAGGCACGCGTCCGGCCGGGTAAGGGGGGGGTCTGACTCAACAGCTCTGCCGGCTCCTATCGCGACAGATCGCGACGCTGTCGCAGCGAGAATGGCTGGGTTTTTGTAGGGAAATCTCGATTGTGCTGCCTGGAATGTGGCTGGCACCTCTCTCGCTGACAATAATGCCGGGGGGGGGAGATGGACGCTCCGGCTTGCAGCAGGGCCGGGTTTTTTTTGGCCGGAGTTACCTGTCCGTGTAGGTGATTACCCCAATTAATTAATTACCCCGGCTGCCCAGCCTCCGCTCGGGCTCAGCCCCTCGTCGGCACAGCCTTGCCGGGGCTGCTGAGCACAAAGATCCCGGCGTGTTTTCCTGCCTGCCGCGGGCTCCCCTCCCCTCCCTCCCTCCGGGCCGCTTTTCCAGGCGGCACGGAGCGATGCTGAGCTTCCGCGGGCCTGGCAAGCGCTTCCAGGTTTTTCCGTATTGCAGCTACCCCTGGGCTGTGCGGTGCCAGCGGCCCCTCCGGGCCAGGCCTTTCCCGGGACTTTCTCTCGCTGTCGCTGTGTCCCTGTGTGGCCACCACGGTGACATTGTGTCCCAGACCCTGCCGGGCATTGCCAGCGCCTTTGGGCCCGGCTGTGCCAACTTGGCAGCGACTCCAGGGTGGAGCTGGGGAGAGCAGACCCTTCCCACCTCTCCACGGGACCCCCAGAGCCTCCGTGGGCTCCGTGTCCTGCCCGCTGTGGGATACCCCAGGCCCGGAGCCGGTGGGATTTGGGCTGTGGCTGAAGGGATTTGGCTGCGGAGGGAGCGGCTCGGGAAAACTTCCCAGCCTGGAGCCTTTTTTGCCCACCCCGGCAGGGTCTGAGTGTGTGTCCATATGGGTTTTTGGGGGCTGGAGGTCCCCAAACCTCCCTGTTTTCCATGGGGGAGCAGGAGGAAGGGGAGGGTGAAATTCCAACCTGAGTCCTGACAGCTCTGTCACGACAGCCTGAGGGGATTTGGGGGCTCCAAGGGGGTGGGGGAGCAGGGAAGGAGCCAAACGCTGGCTCTGAGGGCTGATGGAGATGTGGCAGGACTGGGAATCCTGGGAATCCATCCCACCTACTTCCAGCTGGGACATTTCTTCCTCTTGTAAATTAATCCAGCCTGGATTAATCACCTTGGTTTGAATCTTCATCCTGGGCTTCCCAGGGATGCCGGGGGTCCCAGGACAGCACCGTGAGTGGATTATCCCTGCTTGGCTCCCATGGATTTTGGAATGGGCCCTGCAGGGACCACAGCCTTGTCCCTTCTGGCTTTTGGGGCACGCTGCTCCTGGTGTCCAGACACACCCACACCCTCCCAGTTTGTCAGCCTGGAATCCAGTGCCACCACAGCGGTGAGGACTTCATCCCAGTGCCACATCCTGGTGTCACCCACGGCCGCCACCTCAATCCCAGGGCCATCCTTCCTTGCCACAGGGTTAAACCCGGGATTCTTCCCCAAGTCTTTCCCTCTTGCGGCTTTGTGAGCCTCACCTGGAATTTGGATCTTGTCAGAGCCGGCTGCTCGGGATTCTCCCGAAACTTTTGATCTGAGCTTTGAGTGGCAGTTTGAGGCTCCATCAGCCTCACCTGTGTGGGGGAGGCGCTCCTGGAGGAACACACTGAATATTCCCGGGGTGATCCGCCGGCATGGAGCGGAATGCTGAACTCCTCGGCTTTGGATGGAGCACGGGGGCGACCCAAATCGCTGGGAATTCATCCCATTTTCAGTGCCTTGGCACCAGGACCTTCACACAGCAGAGCAGACAGTCTGTGGATGTCTGTCAGGCTTCAAAAAAGAGGGAAAAAGGGAAAATGCTGGGAGTTGTGGGGAGCAGTCTCTGGTGGTGGTGGCAGCACAGCCACGTGCTCGTCCCTCCCCTGGTGTCCAGGAGCGAGATGGGATCTCTGGGATGTGGGACAGGCCGCTCCAGAGGTTCAGCATTCCTGGTTATCCCTCTGGCTGCCCCATTCCCAGCACCTGCCCTGCTCACATCTCCTCAGCTGGCCCTCGCTGTGAATCCCTGGATTTCTCTTTTACTGGGATTTAGGAGTTGATTCCCTTTGCAGACCGAGCGGTGACAGAGCTGTCACCAGCAGTGGCCTCAGCCCGTGTGGCTTCCCACAGTCCTGCTCCTCCATCCCCTTCCTCCGGGGTATCCCGAGCGTGTTCCGCTGGGAAGGTCGGCGTGGCAGGGGCATCCACGAGGATCAGTCAGGAAACTGAGGGAATTCTGTGCAGTGGTGTCCCCGTGTTTGTCCCTCAGGGATTGTCACCAGGGCCAGGAGGTGTGACCTGGCTGGGAATGTCCATCCCACCTGCTTCCAGCTGGTTTCTTCCCCCTGTAAATTAATCCAGCCTGGATTAATCACCTTGGTTTGAATCCTCGTGGGAATTCCAGTGGGGTTTTATCCGTTGGATTGGAGCTTCCAGGTGTCTCACAGACCAGTTTCTGATTAATTGGAAGCAATTAATGATCCTGAGGGGTGGGATGGATTCATTCTGGGCTCTCCTTCTTTTCCCAAGCGCGAAAGAGTCGGGAAGAGTTTCCGTGAGATCGGTGCTGGTTGGCAAATGTCCATCAGGAACAGGCTGGGAGAGCTGGGAATGTCCAGCCTGGAGAACAGGAGGCTCCAGGGAAAACTCAGAGCTCCTTCCAGGGCCTAAAGGAACTCCAGGAGAGCTGGAGAGGGACTGGGGACAAGGGATGGAGGGACAGGAGCCAGGGAATGGCTCCCAGTGCCAGAGGTACCCCCAGGGCTTGGAATGTGTCACATCCCATGGCTCTTACCTGGCTGCAGGTGCCAAACGGGTGCCAGGAGGGATAAAATCTGTTCCCCATTTACTGGGGATTTGGGATTTTCCTCTGGGACACGATTTTCCAGCATGGTGCTGTCAGAACTTCGGGAGATATTTAGGTCTGGAGCGTCAATTTTTCCTTCGAGGTGTTGGGTTTCTTTGTTGTTCAATGGATTTTGGGTCTTAATATAAGATTATTTTGTGAAGTTTGATTTCTGCCAGTTGTGTTTGAATGAATCCTGGGATTCAGGCTTGGGGGGAAATCCCACATCCCTGGTTTTAGTCCCAAAACCCCAAACTCGGTGGGTTCACTCTGCATTCCGGCCTCGGGAAGTGATGTGGAAGGGAAGGGGGGCGGTTTGTTAGGATTCCAGAAGCTTCCAAAGCCCCCTGGGTTCTTGCACAGGCTGAGAATTCCCTGAATCTCCCAAACCCCCGGCGGTGTCCGGCTGTGGCTGAGGTTTGTCCAGCCATTCCAGGTGAAAGAGGCTCGGTTTTCCTGGGATAAAAAGCAGATTCTTTGGCTGAATCCAGGCCCAGAACGACCAAAACTCCACATTTCTGCACAAAGACCAGAACCAGCGACACGTGGGGTGGGGGAAATGCCAACCTGGTTCCGTTTTGGGGATTTCTGGAAGGTTGGGATGAGCGGGAAGACGGAGCTGAGCAGGACAGGGAACATCCCCCTTCCCTCTGGGATAGAGGCAGTGGGATTGAAAGGTTTTGAGGATCTCCAGAAGATCTGGAGAAGGGCTTGGGGTGAGAGGACACAGGGAATGGCTTCCAATGGAAAAGGGGAGATTGGGGTGGGATATTGGGAAGGAATTCCTGGCTGGGATGTGGGAACCTGGCACAGATGCCCAGAGAAGCTGTGGCTGCCCCTGAATCCCTGGAAGTGTCCAAGGCCAGGTTGGATGGGGCTTGGAGCAGCCTGGGACAGTGGAAGGTGTCCCTGCCCATGGCAGGGAGTGGATTTGTTGGGATTTAAGGTCCCTTCCCACCCAAACCATTCCAGAATTCCATGATCACTCAGTTTTACTCAAGCTGATTGCAGAGCAGGAGGCGCTGGGAGTGGATCCCAACAAGTTTCCCTGGGATTTCAATATTCCTGAGGCTCTCTGGTAGCCATGGAGTTCCTCACATCCATCACCTCACTGCTGCTCCAAGAGCATGGATCACCTGGGTAACCCCAGCTGAACCCAGGGCATCCCGGGATGTCACACCTGGGATATAAATATATAACACAGGATCGTGGAATTGTGGAATTGTGGAGGTTTAAAGAGCCCTTCCCTGGAGGAGATTTCCCAATATCCCATCTAAACCCGTGGATAATCCCACCTGGAACCCACATTCCAAGGTGGGATACCCTGGGTTTGGGCAGGGATGGAACAGTCTGAATTCCCAGGCTGGAAAACCATGGGAATGCTGATAAAATGGGGAAAGATGGAGTTGGTTAAGGATGACGCACTGTGCCGTTATAAAAATGTTGTAAAAGGGGTAAATCAGGTTTGTGAGCTGCTGATGGTGGCTGTGGCACGGTTTGGGAGCAGAAGGAATAAGAATAAAAATTAAAATAAATAAAATAAAACAAAATAAAAATAAAAAATGAAAATAAAAAGATACAAATAAAAATACAAAATAAAAATAAAAAAATTAAGACTAAAAATAAAAATAAATTAAAAAAACCAAAATAAAAATAAAAATGAAAATATAAAATAAAAATACAAAATAAAATTAAAAAATAAAAAAAATTAAAAATAAAAATAAAAAGTAAAATACAGAATAAAAATAAAAAATTAAGACTAAAAATAAAAATAAATTAAAAAAACCAAAATAAAAATAAAAATGAAAATATAAATTAAAAATACAAAATAAAATTAAAAAATAAAAAAAAATTAAAAATAAAAAAAAAAAGTAAAATACGGAATAAAAATAAAAAAATTAAGACTAAAAATAAAAATAAATTAAAAAAACCAAAATAAAAATAAAAAATGAAAATATAAATTAAAAATACAAAATAGAATTAAAAAATACAAAAAAATTAAAAATAAAAATAAAAAGTAAAATACAGAATAAAAATAAAAAAATTAAGACTAAAAATAAAAATAAATTAAAAAAACCAAAATAAAAATAAAATAAAAAATGAAAATATAAAATAAAAATACAAAATAAAATTAAAAAATAAAAAAAATTCAATAAAATAAAAATACAAAATAAAATTAAAAAATAAAAAAAATTCAAAATAAAAATAAAAAATAAAATAAAAATACAGAATCAAAATACAGAATAAAAATAAAAACCCAAAATAAAAATTTAAAAAAAAATTAAAAAGAAAATTAAAAAGAAAATTAAAATAAAAATACAAGATAAAAATAAAAAATGAAAATAAAAAATAAAAATTTAAAAAAATAAAAAATAAAATATAAAATAAAAACACAAAATAAAATTAAAAAATAAAAATGAAAGTAAAAAACTAAAAATGAAAATACAGGATAAAAATACAGGATAAAAATACAGAATAAAAATAAAAAATGAAAATAAAAAATAAAAATTAAAAAATAATAAAAAATAAAATATAGAATAAAAACACAAAATAAAATTAAAAAATAAAAATGAAAGTAAAAAATTAAAAATAAAAATACAGGATAAAAATACAGAATAAAAATGAAAAATTAAAATAAATAAAATAAATAAATTAAAAATAAAAATACAGGATAAAAATACAGAAAAAAAATGACAAATTAAAATAAAAAATAAAAATTTAAGAATAAAAAAATAAAAATATAGAATAAAAATGCAGAATAAAAATTAAAAATAAAAATAAAAATAAAAATAAAAATAAAAATAAAAAATTAAAATGAAAATAAAAAATAAAAATCCAAAATAAAAATAAAAAATAAAAATGAAAGGTAAAAAATAAAATAAAAATGCAAAATAAAAATACAGAATAAAAAGAAAAATAAAAAATGAAAATTAAAAAAAAAATTACAAAATTAAAAAATGAAAATAAAAAATAAAAAAAAAACCCCAAAAGGGTGTGGAGGAGGCGAGCGGGGACGGCGGCAGACGAACCATCCCCACATGTAACCCTGGTGTCCATCCCACCTTTCTGAGGCTGCCTTTCCCCTGCTCCCCAGGCCTCCAGCACGCCCAGGATGAGCT